CAAGGCGCTAAGATACTCAGGGGGAATTGCTAAATTCCCTCAAGCCAGTGTGACGAAAGAGAGAAAAATGGATTTGTGCAAATTCAGAGTGCTTCTTTCTAGAACTCTCTGAGAAGAGCTATCTGCTGAGATAAACAATCATCTTGGAACCGAAGCCCCTGTCTTTAGGTTTCATTACAAGAGATTCCTTTTACATGAATCTCCCCCATCTGGAGTGCATTTACTTCTCCATAAACAGAACCAGACGGACTGTGGACAATGATTTTCAGAAGGGTAACGGTCTTTTACAGAGTCCCTGTGGGGGCCCCCCCCTTAAATACAAACCATATGCGAGGATCTTTGAAAGTCAGACAGCCCTTCAGATCAGAGAAATAGAAGCAAACGGAGCCACAGCTTATGGTCTTCATTCTTCCAAACCCTTTCGCAGTAAGCAAGCCCCTCGCAGAGGACTGCCTGCCTGGAAATTCTACTGTATATACAGCTCACCTCAAAACCCAAACAAACAGACACAAGACAACACCCCGGCTCTCCTTTCTGCATGTGTGACCGACGGCATCAACCCCCACCCGAGGCCCAGCCTCCCGATACAGAGGCGCTGCTCCAGACACATCTGCCGGGCTTCTGAAACCAGGGCAGGCTGACTCCCGGAGGCCGAGCCCATCCCGAGCCTTCTCTGAGTTCAATAGTCCCTCTCAGCTTCACACCAAGCAAAGGTGGGCTCTTGCTTTGTCCCTTGATCTTGTCCCAATGCCTAGAACACTGCCTGCCACTTCATAGGACGACATTGTAACGACACTGACCCCGTCAGTAGCCTACTGCACACTTGTATGGCAAGGCACGATGCTAGGAGCTAAGGAGACCCAGGGGGCAAGTCAGGCAAGGCTTCCACTGTCAGGACACGTCCCTCCTAGCAGGAGAGCGAGGTAATAGATAAATAATCACCTAAACAAGCAGGCATTTAGCAGGAGGAAGACCCCTAAGGCAGGATGGGGAGAGGGAGACTGCTGGGAAATACATTCGAGAAGTCTAACCAATCCCTAATCTGTTTCCAGGCCACTAGAAGAGCCGGGACACCCCTTGGGTTGTACTAGGTCACTGGATAGTGAGTGCCATTGATGGGGACGACTGAGGTGAAATTTAAGGGAACAAAGGAGAATATAAAATCCTCGGAAATAGAGGAAAGAGCTGGGTGGCAAAGGGTATTTATAGAGCTCTAGATAAAGACATGTACATAT